AGACCTTGCAGCTCAAGGTGCTTACCAGAAAGGATAAATGCCCAACCGTGTAACAATGAATACGACACCAAAGAGCATGAAGAAAGCATCACATAGACGTTGGTACTTGGCATAATTGGCTAGCTTTGCAGCCTAAAAGAGACAAGAAACACGAGAATATTATTCCCTTTGTGCACTCATGTAATTACCAGGCTGTAAAGCTTCAAAAACCCTCAAGCCATCATATTTCTAAGGAGTTTGAAGCATTTAGGGATTATTCTTAGCACTAAAGCAGTTATGAGGAAAAGCTGACAAGGCAGGATCACCAGCACAAGCTTTGTGGCATATTTAATGCAGTTTCTCAAGAATGGGAAAGTCAGCTTGCGCCCCTGAGACCACACTAGCATTAGGTATGCAAAGATTTCCAAGGAAACTCACCTCTAAAAGAAAATCTGATGCATCATGCAGGCACAGCACCAGAGTTCCAACCCGCACCATATTATTCATATAAGAGAATGTAATGAGTCCAATTGTGGCCAAATGATGGACGAACATGATCAGGAAATCCTGGAAACAGCAAAAAAAAATAAAATGGAATGAAGCCTCTGACTGTCAAACAAACACAAAGGTTTGGAACAGAGCCACAGAACTGACTAAGTGGGCTCACAGGATTCCTTCAGCTCAGACTCCGACTCCGCAGCTCATCACACAACATCGGCCATCACCACTAAAGGCTCCAGAAAGGTCTCTGTCAGTATTTGTGCTCCTCTGCACATGCAGGCACAGCACAGCCTCCTTGGCACACACATGCAAGGTAAAGATAAGGATGCCTGCAGACCCCGCTGAAAAGATTGACGGGACAACATATGGTGCTTATTTTTGGTTCCTTTTGGTTTTACAGTCATATTGCTAGTGATTTCAGCTCTTGGCACAAGTTTTAACTACACTGCTGTTACTGCTGTTAGGGCGCAAAAGCCTGCCAGAGCATAGCAGGCACCAAACACCAGATAACCCAACAGCAAGAGTTAGGCCACTCATTAAAAAATATATATATTTATATACATTTCCAATTTAGCCCCCTGGGTACAACACTTCCATGTCAATGTACCTCACCGTGCCTGCAGTGGGGAATGTAACCCACCTTGCTAAAGTCAGAGTACAAAATTAAACATAAGCAGTATCACAGATGCTGTTAATCACTCCCTTTCTGCAGCTCCAAGATATTCTGCAGTGCCTCACCTGCTAATATTTCAGTACAGAAAAAAATCGCAGGCAAACGTGTCTTTCTGAGAAGTCAATGCAAGAACTGGGATAATTTGCTACTCTGCAGTTTGTACAACACAGAAGCAATAAACCATGATTTACTACGAACTGTTTCCCAACAGCAACAATAAGCCAAATCCTAGAACACAGCGCAACAGAATGAGAATCCAGCCATGGGGACCAGTCATCATTCTGCTCCGCACACAGATGAAAAAATTGCTTTCAAAAAACCATTCCTTATTCCTTTAATGTTTGCCACTTTCTCACCCAGCTCAGCCAGGTACTGCTCTGAGCACCTCATCTGCGTGTTTTCTTGCAAGCCTTCTAATTAAATCTATTTTTATACAATGACTTGATAACTCTTGATTGGGAGGTATTGAGTGATTCTGTTCTTTCCCCTGGACTCTCAAGGGTATGCCAGGTTGCATCAGGCTTGCTCCTTCCTTTTCCCCAGAACTGGGCAGTGATTACACAAGGAGGTAGGCTACAAAAAGATGTGAATGAGGAAGAAAATACAATTATTACTATGCTTTAGGTTTACTGGCCAGGCACACTCATATTTTTTTGTTAGTCCTATCTACTTAGCAAAGTGGTTAGTGCAATTCTAGTTAATCTCACCTTTCGTTTTATGTCTGTAAACTGAGAAAACATGAGAGACCAATAGAAGGCCAGCTCCAAGATATAGTAATAATAAAGCCTGGATGTTAGAGGCTGGAAAACAAACAAAGATAGCACAGTTAGAAGTCAAAGTACTTTAAAATTTACATTAAAATCTACTTTTTCCTTCCTCCCTCCTCATCCTGCTCTGTTCCTCCAGGATGCTAAGGCATAAGTTAAAAGATCCAGAATTAAGGTTTAGTGAAAACAAGCTTAAGCAACAGGCATCTTACTCTAGGCTTAGTCACACAAACATATTTGTGTGTTTGAGCTTCACTCAAAAGCAGTAAAGTCCCTTATCAATATTTACAACTCATAATGCAGCCTCTTGGATTAGGAAAACCAGGCACTAAAGCAGACTGGTTGGTCTCTATACAACCATACTTGCTGCATAACGAAAACAACATTGGAAATATGTTACCAGTATAATTTTATGGGTTTTTTCCCCCACTTTTAATAACCTTGGCAACAAGTAAACATACAATGAATATGACCCGAGTCAGTTCTATCTGACAAACACTGCTGATGACAAAACCTAACCAGGATCTGAAGACACAAGGAGCAAGTGCCACCTTCCAAAAGCGATGGCCATTCCCTAACTGCAAAGCCTTCCAGGTTGCTGCCTCTGCAGCATCCCCCCCACAGAACAATGAGAAGTACTCAACCCCACTGAGCTTCAATCTGCTGTCACTAGCAAAAATAAAAACTGAAATTGTGCCAAAGGCTTGAATCTAGGAAGTGTCTTATCTCCCACCTGAAAAGGGTAGTTGTACCAGCACTGTCGTGTGTCCCAAAACCAGGGTGCCTAAAGGGAAGAGGATACGTTATTATTCTACTGGGTTTTAAATCCCCATCATCTAAGGCAGTTGATTGCTATAGCACCATGTTGCAGTGAAATTTTATCTCGATTCTACCATTCAAGCTATTTACTGTAAAACATCTTAGTGATTTAAAATATTCTTTCTGCAGTCAAAGGCAAGTTATATTGCAATGGAAATACAAAGAACAATCACACAGCTCAAAGAATAACAACAACCCAAAGAGATGAATCTGTATCCCTTCAAGAGGGAGGTGAGAAAACAAAGCAGCAGCTCTGTAGCAAAAAACCCCAGTTCTGTCCCGTTCTGGGGTAATGAGACAAAGAAGTTTCTATTATTTTCACAATGACAGATCTGTATTGAAGGTTTCCCACAGTGTAAAGAAGGTCTTTAAACAGAAAACACAAGATCTCAAAAAGGGAACATAAAGATGACTATCACCACTAAGCTCCCCCTGTTTTAAGCTGGGTGCAAGCACTGAAGAAGGGACACAGGCAGTGAAACCACCTACATTTCAGCAGGGCACCCATAACCCAGCTGCATGGCACACAGAACAACAAGGGGGGGGTGACAGACCAACTCACCGTCCAGAGAAACCTGATTCCATATAAAAATATACTTAAATAAAATGTAAATCTCCACCTGGAGAAAGAAGCAAAAATTAAACTTATGAAACAGGAATAGCTCCTGGTTAACATTCATAACAAAAACTAAAATAACCCAGTTCTGACACCTGAAAAGCCTGCACCCATCAATTGGGAATGCTTCATTTGTAAACATTTCACGTAAGGATAAACCTATTTAAGAGTTTTCACACCACACACTAGTTTGCATCAACAGCAAAGCTTGAAATAAAGTTCAGAGTGAACATGCATAATTCATATGTTTTAATATATAATAACAAGATAACAACAAGAACAGTCATTGTTATCCAGAAGGTATCCTAATATATGTATTTGTCCCTCTTACCTTGTGGCTTTAAGTAGACAAAACCATACTGGGGGGAAGAATTAATATGAAGAAAGTTACTGGAAAGGAAAGAAACCAGCACAGAAGAAATAACAAGTCAGGAAAAAATATTCAGATGCTACTACATTAACAGAGGTAACTGCAAGCATTCAGAGAGAAACAAAGAACAAAAGAATGAACTGAAATGAAAAGAAGAGGAATCCAAGAAGTGTCTGTATAAAAGTACATACATCGTTGTGTAAGCCATAAGGTCATTCTGTCTGGGAACAAACGCTGCTCTCCACCACCACTGTGCAGACAGCAGACTTGTCTTCAGTGTGACTCCTTGTGCACATGCACACACATGCACACTGAAGTGCTACTGTTTGCATCAAGGACCTGGGCCATCTAAAGCCGCTTCATCACAGTCAGGAATAACTCCTGTACGTGTGTTCTGGTCTCTCATGCACTTACCCAAATTTTAGAATACCAAATTCTAAAAAGCCCTCCTAACTCCTTTCATCTGCTTACGTAAGAATTTATCTCCCACCAGCCAACCCCAAGACACCAGTGTACACAGCAGCTGACCACAGTTTCAGTTAGAAAAGAGAACATACAGCTGGAGCTTTAAGATGAAGCCACATCTTGGCCTCTGCACAAACATACATGCTCTCACAAAATTTAGTGAGGGTGGTGGGTTTGTCCTGGTTCCTCCGATGACGAAACCAGCGCTGGATCTTTCGAACATCCCAGTCCAGCTGCTTTGACAAGCCGTCTAACCTCTTTCCATCTGGAGACTGAAGGAAAATGAAACAAACGTCATTTCTCCTGCTTCTCAACCTGCTTCCAGTCCAAGGGCTCCCCTGTACTACGACAGAAATGGTGCACAGGTAACAAAAGCACACGCTAGGAAGGCACCACGCATAGGCTGGAAGCAGGAAACCATTGCCACAGATGTTCATTCAAGTTTAACTTTCATAAGCCACTAATTACTCAATTATTCACAATGCCTTTGGTTTAACGTTTCCTCATCCACTTCATCATTTGACAGCACATCACGACAAAGAATGCAATTGTTCTGCTTCTTAATTTAGAGGGAGGAGCTTTTAAAACGTCCTGTCCTACCTGTTAAAACTTGCAGAACAATTCAAACAGAAGCCAGGAAGATAAAAGCTAAATTCATTTAAGGGTTGCAAGTTCAGGGAAACTTCAAAGTAAGAGCTGGTTTAACGCACTAGATATTTGTATATTCCAAAAGGGCATCGTAGAGATGGCATTGTTTCTGCTACCAAAATGTATAAATAAAATTAAATTTGGAAACTGAAATAATTGCATGATAAAGAGTATATCCCTGCTCTCTGACTGGAACATCTATTGGCAGTTTGTGTGTTTGAATAATGACATAAATGGATTGAGAAGAGACAAAGTGAACAAAACCTGATAACTACCTCTAAAATGGCCCAGTGGGGAGATAAGCCACGTTAGTTTCAGACCAGTGTCCTTTTAACAAGCTCTGCCAGGGAGCTCTTACAACTGAAAGATGATAAACACATTTTACTACTTGAGTTACATACAAACCCAAAAAGCTGTGCAGAATGCTGATTTAATAAACTGTCATCAGACTGTTCAAGTGAAAAGCAAAATAATCTGTCATTTCATTTCAGTATTGAGACCACAACTTTCCTGTAATTCCATCACAACCAGATCTCTCTGCACTTTATGAGGCTTTAATGGTTCGGGCTACCTGACACTTCTGCACTGGACAGGAACTTGCCTCAAAGGAGAATTTAGAGAGCTCCTATTTCAGAACAGCAATGAAATCTTTCCCCTGCATCAGTGCCACCCTGCATTGTGATTCTCCCAATCCAACAGCAGACACGAGCATACTGGTACAGTTAAATGCAGCTCTGTTTTCATAAGCTAGACAAATTTTGCAGGCGTGTGTCCCCATGGGTTTCCTAAACATTAATTTCAAGGACATCTCCTACATAAAAGTCCTCAAATCATAGAGATTTTTTAGTTCACACGTCATTCCAAATACCTCAAAACTTTAATGTTCCCACGAGGCGAGTTTCAGTGAAGTTTTTATAGAATTTCCCTTCCATTCACTGAGCACTTTATCTGCTCCACTCAGAATTAACTTCAGCATCACCAAATCAGAACATAAAACCTTTCATTTCATTCTCTTTAATGAAAATCTACCACGCTGCCTGCACGGATTTCACTGTCAACATTCAACAGAGTACAGACAGGGTGAAATCCTGTCATTCTAAAATGAAGGAGTACCATTAGCTCCAGGGAGAGAAGGGCCATGAAACAATCAAAAGAAACACCTGCTGTCAACATTAAATGTCCTACCCTTTACCAGGGCACCCTTCCATTGACTGAACACCTTCCCCAAATACCTGACTTCCAATTCCACACTGGATGGCACCAATAAGAGGAAGGCATTCACACACCTGGCCCATAAAACCGGTTGGGATTTTTTTGTTCCTTCCAAAAGGACCAGATCTCAAAGAGAAGAGTAGCACTTTCCCAATAGAAAGCGAAAGATACTGGGAAATTTCTTGTTAAACCAAGAATTACCACCTGTTACAGGAGTTAATTTGGACAAAGGCAGGAAACTTAAGGAGTAAGCCTTATAGCTTTCTAAAAAGATAACGGTTTTTATTCAGAAAAAGTCTTCTGCACACAAAAGCATAGGTCAGCTGTGAAGAGAATCAACTTTGCTACAAAAAGAACACTCCAGAGGCAAAGTAAAATAAGAAAGAGCACCCTCACTGTGCACACATAGTGTGAAATGCATCTCTCTCAAACTAGAAAAGTGGAAGCAAAAAGCTCCCCCTGATTTTTACTTACAGAGCTCCATTTCCAGCAGAATTTGAAGCGTGACTCACCTTCGTGATGGATGTAAACACTTTCTCTAAAATTGCATTGGGCTGGGCTCTGTGAGGTCCACTGTCCTGAATGCCAAGGTTGAAGAGAATTAACTTTGCTACAAAAAGGACACTCCAGAAGCGAAGTAAAATAAGAAAGAGCACCCTCACTCTGCACACAGTGTGAAATGCATCTCTCTCAAACTAGAAAAGTGGAAGCAAAAAGCTCCCCCTGATTTTTACTTACAGAGCTCCATTTCCAGCAGAATTTGAAGCGTGACTCACCTTCGTGATGGATGTAAACACTTTCTCTAAAATTGCATTGGGCTGGGCTCTGTGAGGTCCACTGTCCTGAATGCCAAGGTTTATGGCACATGGCTTGGCAATAAACCTGAAAGAGATACAAAGAAAGAGCTGGGTTAAAACAAGAAATCCATTTCCCTCCTAAATACCACAGAGCCCGACTTGTCACCGACTGCCCTATCCAGAAAGCTTTTGAAGATCTCCACTCACTTTGCTTAAAGAAACTTCACAAGGGAAACACTTTTTATTAGTCCAAATGGTAATTGCAGACAGCACATACAGTACACACATCTAAAATGAAAAATTAAATCTCAGTGTCTCTTGTAAGGATCAGAATGTGGTCCCTCAGGGCAATTCTCATTACTTGGAAATAAAAGAACAGATCACTGGTAGGAGTCCTCCAAGAACATTAATGCTAAAGTCCTATACATTAAATGCCTTATTTCCAGAATGCTCCTCGGTGTCACATAAGCTCAGAAAAAAGGGAAGTTCAAGTGACAGTTCCTAAAAGACAAATGTTTTGGGGCTTTTTTGGTCTTTCAGGAAAATCATGTGGCTCAGTATCTCGCTCAGCCCTGTATGTACCACATATTTCAAAAGCTGAGCTAACGCTCTGTGAACTTGACAGCACAGACACCCTGAAAATAAGCCTGGTTTTCAACTAAAATTAATATATACACATTCAAAAATTATTAGGTTTTGCTGTACCTCTGTGTCAGGCACAAGATCCTAAGGAAAACGTGTGTGCTACCTGAACATGTGAACTGTTTTCTCTCCTGTTTGTGGGCAAGAGAGGGGGGTTTCAAGGAACAACTTTTATAATTTTTTAATCAACTATTTTGAGAGTGTTGTCACAACAGATTTCGAAAAGGACTCGACATTTGCATCATTAAATTTGCTTTGAAACAGAGAACTGAATGGAGACAACAAATGACACATACGTATCCCATTTAGAAGACTCAGAGTGCCATCAAGCAGAAAACGTTGCTTTTTCCAGCCACTGCATTTGCTACCGTTTCTCCTTGTGTAAAAGGAGATTAAGATTCAGGAGAACCACGATTATAAGTGTTCCAATAGCAGTCACTCTTGGGTGTACATTGTTAGTACTTCAGTAGCAAACAGTTATGACTGCGTTTAAGAACAGACACAGGTTGGGGGGGTTTTCCCTTGAGAAATTACAGATCAGCTCGTGACTAATCCCAAAGGAACTCCCCTGCTCTCAGAAACTACTAAACACGTAATAGACGCCGTGGCCCCAGGTTTCACTGTGCTGCCCCATTTCTTCACATGCCCTGTTCATTTCAACAGTTATAGCTTTAAAAAAAGAAAAAAAAGGAAAGGAAAGGGTAATTTCCTTTCAGCTTGGCTCAAAAGGCTCACTGCTTCCTCTACAATCCAGACCATCAGCCAGAAATCACGTTGTGATCTTATGAAACGTTTGGCCAAACCCCCACAAAAGTGTACATCTCTGCACTCTTCTTTCCTGCAGGATACACCACAACAGCAAAGAAGTACACACATGCAATTACAGGATGGCAAATGCTTTTATTTCTTTTTTCTGGGACACAGTGTTTACAGCTCTATTAAAAAAAATTAAAATCCTGGCCTGATTCATTTCAGCTTCCCACGTAAGAAAGGAAACCTCAAAAATCCACATATCTACATATTCAAATTGGTTATTACTCAGGAGAGTCTACTTTTGTTTTAAGAACAAGAAGAGAATGAATGGTTAAGAAAGCTGATAGTGATCCATGCAGTCTTGGCACTATTCTAGAATTCAAAACCTCAAGGAAAGAAGAAACAGCATAGAAATAATTCACTTTGGGACCTAAGCATTGGGAAAAAACCCCACCAAAACATGAAACTTTGCATGAAACTACTCCTGAGTAGTTGGCTTCCTTCACCAGAAGGCTTAGGGAAAAAATACGGATGTTTCCAGGAATTAAAGGGGAGGAAAACAAAAACAACAAAAAACCCCAAGACTAAGCCACATACTTGAGACACAGCACAAAACTCAGGTTACTCAGTCAAGCGTGCGGGCGACCAAAGAGCAAACCAAAACAACATTTCTATGTGCACAGAAGCAGACAGACACCCACACAAGCAGACAAGTGACAATGCTGGAGGCTACAGAGGTAGTCCCAGCTGCAGAAACAGGAAGGAAAAAGGACGGCAGCAATGGATTTCATGGCTTTTAAGGAAGTCCAACCCAAGGCCACAACGTCGCTTCTCTACCTCTGCAAGTAATGGCTCCGTGCAATGGAGCTGTGGATGGCACAGGTCCTCGTGCTGGGCTTCTCGAGCTGTGCGAGGCGTTTTTACCTGCTCTGGGCACAGCCACGGACCAGGTGCTACTGCCTTGCAGTACAACAGAAGTGAATGAGCAATCCTGCTGTCAGGCAGAGAAATATCAAGACAATGCACCATTCCCTTTTGGAGTTCACTAAGGAAATCCACACTTAAAAAACCTCTGGGGTGTTTCATACTTTTGGTTTCACAACAGCTTTTCAGATGTGCAATTTTTGCACTGTAACCCACAGAGAAAAAATTCTACACAGCAATAGCAGGCAAGCACCAAAGGCTGCCCAGATTGTAGAATTTCCAGTCTTGGATATTCAAAACCAAACAACACACGACAATGAGCAACCTGACCTGACTAAAACATTGGCCTTGCTTTGAGGAAAGGATCAGACAAGGTGACTTTCACAGGTCCCTTTTAATCTAAATTATTTTATGATTCCCAAGGTCAACTTACTGCCACACCTTCCCTATCTTCACTTTTATACTTATATTACACTTTTCTGAACAGGGATCTGCTCATTGGCTTAAGCCATGCCTACCAAGCTACCTTTTTCACACTAGTTATTAAGATAGACTGATATTTCCAACCAACACCAATTTTCAGGTACACAGACTCAAATGTTATAACAAATTTCTCAGGCGTGTTGTACTTCACAAACCCAAAGGCAGAATCCTTCTTTATGGCACAAACAAGTTTATCTGGTGACTCCTTATTACAGCTCTGAAGAGAAAGAGCAGCCAGCAACATTGCAAGATTTATAAAGTGCGTACTCAAAGTAAGAGTTCTTCTTTCCACAGGGTCTGCATTTCACATATAAATCACTTTTTTTTTTGAGCACAACCTGCAGAGTAACAAGTGTGTCTGTTACTGAATGGCATTCCAATGCAATTATAAACACATCATATGAGTAACAGGCTCCAGGTTATCCCAGATACCTGGGAAATTTTTTTTGTGCCTGCAGCAGGATCCGTAAGGAGAAATAAAAGCAAGTATAATAAAAATAACCCCAAACTTGTGGGCAGCAGTCCTTCCTTATCCTACCTGCACAAAAATCTACTCTCCTACCACCAAGTCAGGACTTCATCTTCCTCTACGAGTCTGGCCTCATCTGTACAGTTATATACATCCACCAGTCAGCCTAATGATTTTACCAATGTTGTAATGCAAAAGTTGATTTATAAGAACATCCACTAACACAAATACATGTCAGTGTTACAAGTGTCAGTGTTACAAAAGCACTTCCTCTCACTGAAGATCTACAGCAAAAGGGGAGAGATAAAAGAAAAAAAATTAAGAGAAGCTAACCCAGAAGAGCTGCACAAGTATGTAACTCACATTCTGAGTCATCAGGTCCAATTGCCAAACAAGTGTCAAGGAAGACACTTGACAGAATCATCTCCAAAGTCTGAATCAGGAGATATGCACAACAGGAGTTCATTAAGACAACTGTAAACTTTTATAATGCATTCAAAGTGGCAGGAGGAGCATTTCTTAAAAAGTACGCATACTAGAGACTGCCCTGGATGTTGCTCTCACAATCTGCTTTTGCTTCAGGATACCCACCATTGAGACACACCACAGCAAAGACACAGGTAAAAATGAACCAGGCTGTGGCCTCCAGGTCTTACTGTGCAGGCAGAGGACTTCATTTGCCATTTGACTCCTCCCTAAAATAACAGCACAAAAGAAATGTCGCTGACCAGGCAGACATTACCAGGATAAAGTAACTGCTACCAGGAGGACTGTGTGGAGGTGTGGCAGAATGCACTGTATCTCTCCTAACGCCTCATGCTGCAGAGAAAAGAGACTCTCTTGCACTTCTTCCCCAGACTTAAGACACCTGGACTAAACAGGGCTTGGCAAGCGAGGAAACTCCTTTTTACATGCTTCCAATATCCTTTTCAGGGGTATCGCTCTGTCTCACAACTTCTTCTCCTTGTCTGCTGGCAAGCACGAGCATTTGGATGAGACTAGCAGCACCACGCCAAGCTGAGATGAGATTTTGGCACTGCCACGTGTGTTCCTGGGTCCTCAGCACTGGTTTGAGCTGCCAGTAGTTTTCTGAAGCTGTGTCATTTTTTCTTGAGGGCAGAAAGATAAGACAGAGCAAAAAAAAGCCTCTCAAACTTCTCTCCTACTCCACTAAGCTGCTTCATTTTTCTGCAGTTTGCCATTTTGCTTCACCCCAGTCCCCTCTTCTTGTTTGAAAGCTCAAGGAAATGCATACTTCTTACAGAAAACCCACAAACCAAAACCAACTCGATTCCTACTCACTTCAGACCCACAGCCCTTTTCATGCTTAGAAATGCCTTTGTCCTCTCAATGTAGAAATTTAGGATTAAATCAATCTTTAATGAACTCCTTGAACAGCAGCACAAGGTGTCTTGGTCTGCTTCAAGTAACGGGCTTCCTAAATAAGCTGCTTTACTAATTAGTATCTATGTCACCCACACAGTCTGCACTGCATGCGGCTGTAAGAGATATACATCGTGGAAAGGATAAACCTTTGCCCCAGAGAAGAGTTGGTATCATATGTTTATAGATACTCAAGTAAATGAGAAATCCTACGTTACACCTGATCGTGGGCAGATGTGATGATCCACACACACTTCCGTCATGCCCGAGATGCAGGGGACCCACAAATTGTTTAATAATATACTAGGCCATGTGAACAAGCCCCGTTTCCTCATCCAGGAACTCACAAGGAAATTACAGTAAAGGCAGAGACCAGCAACACAAGCAAACCAGCTGCGGAGCAGCAGCCAGTTTTCTTTCACTCGCCCAGCCAAGGTTTCCCTGGACAGGAGAAGAAATAAAAGTGAATTCCCCAAACTTCTTCCTTGCACTACTTCAGTATAAGGCACCATAGCACTAGAGGAGCCTCTCAGGATCCGAAGCCAAGGGAGAAAGGAACCCTAAGGGTTTGTGTATGTCATGACAGACACCGGGCAGCTGCCGGGACAGGTTTTCCAGGGTTACACAACGTTCCTTTTCCACGCAAAAAGAGATTCAGGAGACGCGGAGAGCGGAGAACACGCCACGGCCTCCGCGGAAGGCCTCCGCGCTGCCTGAGGGGCGAGCGGAGAGCTCAGCCGAGCCGCCCCACGGGGCCCAGCCCGCCC